GTCAGAGCAGTTTTCCTAACAACATGAGCCAGTTGGGACTCAACCTGTATTCCTCTTTCCCCAATAAGCACAGAGTGATTAATGAAGACTGAAATGCCTCCTTGTACTCAAAAAGTTAAAATACAAGAATTCTCAGAAGGAAGAAGAATCTGAGGATTTAGATGACAATGGCTACTAAAAATCACATTAGGACCCTACCTAAACTACTCCCCTGAAAGTGGCAAGGCAAATAGTCCCCACTGGCATTAGATTTCGGATGGACTGGGAGAGAGGGAGAGCCCAGCCACATTTGGAGGTCCCTGACACCCATACACAAATCATTTCAGGGGGAGGCTGTCACAGTGCATCTTCAATGTTGCCCTTTAAATGGATTGGACCCCAACATCACATTCTTCCCAGGGTAGGGAGTGGGGTGGGGGGGCTGTGGGAGTTTCAGGGAGAACAAAGAAGTTACCATCTCCTTCACACACACACCCCCAAGGACAGATGTAGTAAAACTCTGCATCGTAACATGCATTCACTTTAAAATACCAAACTGCAAACAGGTAGACGGAATGATCATGTTTGAGAGCCCCCAAATCTACACAAAGATATATCTATTTAAAAGAACATGTAAATGAATGGCATGAACCTCTTTTTTAAAAAAAGGCTTAAGTGTGTGATTGATTGCATTCACATGTGCTTTCATTTGCAAAGCTATCTTTTTATCTAGTGATTGCATCCTTATAAAGATAATCTGGATAACAGGGCAGTTCTAGTTATTTTTTCTCATCAATAAGTCACTGTTTCAAATAAAAAAATAGATTTATGGTAACTGACGAGCACACAAATCACATACCAAAAAAAAAAGGCAGCTGTTTTATCCTTTCAATGTGGTTAAGCAAGGCTCCTTTGTGTCTACAAATTTCCCTGGGTGGTGCTGTTGCCAAGAAATTCTAATTCATGACAAGGTTTTCTGCAAATCGGGGACAGAGGCAAACCTGCAGATGCAGGGACCCTACAGTTTGCTTTGTCTTTCTGGCTGAGACAGCACCTGGCTGCCCAGCCCTCCAGAAGGCAGTGCAAGAGGAGATCACTATACAGACAGAGGCGATGCAGCTCACAGACCAAATCCCATTCCTTGCACCATGAGGTAGTTCTTGGAAGGCAACCATTTCTGTCGGTTGTCCCCTGGAGATGCCTCATACCAAAGGCCCTTGTAAGAAGTGTTTCAGGGTGCCTGAAACCAAGATGAAATTGCAGCTTTATGGGGATACTTTAGTTCTTACAGTAGCCAAGTATGCCATTAGTTTAAAACAATGGGGGAATAGAAGGGGGAGGAGGGAGGAATGTTCTATGATTTATTTATTTGTTTCCAGTAGCAGTGGAAAATTTTCTCTGTGCAAAAAGGGAGGCCTGAAACTGACCCCATCTGCCAATTATGAATCAGCATTAACAACAAGCATAATTCCATAAGCATTTTCAAGTAAACATACCATGTTCCTCAACGGCATGAAGCAAAGCTAAGTGAAAATAAGACTTAGAATTTCATTACTTGACTTGCAATCATGAAATAGCACACTGGGTATAAAGAATATGTCCAAATCCCAAAAGCCTTCTAGCTTCCTGAAGAAAAATAGCCAAAAATGTTGCATCGAAGGCTTTATATTTTCCAAATCACCAGTGGGTCCAGAAAAGTCATGATTTCTATTGGCAACAAGACTCATGAATGGGTCTCTCTTTATCCATCAAGTGGTACCCGTCTGTCCTACCTTTGACTTTTTCCTACTTTTGCTCAGACAGCTCTTGGAATATTTCCTGCAAGTTTCCAAAGAGCTTAAGGCTGGTAGCCGTAAGAGTTGTGCGTCAGCTGAATTCCATAAAATAATAGACCACATAAGCACAGTGTAATTTACAGTTATATGACAGGCAGAGATGATGTTACTTGGGCCAAGTGCTTAAGTATGCAGTCAGAGCCCAGGAATGGAAAGCTGTTAATGTAGGATGTCCATCTGGATTTTAAAATTACACCGGCAATGATTTTCAGATTTGGAGCTGTATGTGGCTAAGACCTCATTGCCTGAAAATCCAATGTCAAAATGATGACCCCCATGGCAGGAGGACCATCGCAGGCTCACTGACTATTAAGCAGGACAATTATCTCAGACAGTAAGTTTAAAATAAAACCCCAAATTGTCCATCTTCAATTTTCAAATGCACAGATGTTCTTGGGTTTATCATCTAAGCCACTCTTTCTCTACAAATCAAATCAGATCATTGGAATCTCTGTATTTCACTCATCTCAAGCCCAGGTACACTGTTCGCTTTCAGAAGAACATCTAATAACTGCTCCTCATTTGACCTCTAAAATCTGATTACTCCAGAGCATCAGAAAACTTCCTTCTGCCTGGGGTTCTTTGTAACAACCTTCTTGAACCATTTTATGCAAAGGAGTCTCAGAATTTCACCATCTGATGGTTGATTTAGAACCAACAGTTGCATATAGCCACCCCCCCCCACACACACACACCCATACTTAGAAAACTGTGAGGAATTGCCAGGGGGAGGGGGAGAAAAGGAGGAAGTTAGAGATAGGAGTTGGAGGTTTTGTCATCATATTAACTTACGGTCACAGTCACCTTTATATAAAGCAGTCATGACTGCAGGATCCAAAGCAGACCACTCCTTAGAGTGAAATCTTACTTAAGAGTGTTCCCCCATAAGTTATGTTTCACTATGGATTATGAGCAGGTCTCAGAAATAGGTTGGTTAAGAGTTTTAAGGTGAGGATGGTTGGCAGTTGGCGGGTTAAGGCAAGAAATAAGAAGGGGGGGGGAAGGCTTGAAAATTCCTTTGCCTGCATGTAGACACTAAGCTTGTAGAGGGTGAGGAGGAGAAGGGAGGAGGGATGGAGAAGACAAGGCTCCTGAGGAAACAATAGATCTGCTACATCCCCTAATTATCAGGCCAATGATGTTTCTTTTCAGAACTAGACTTTCTCCTGGATGGTCTAACCAGATCTAGAAAAGCAGGTTTCCCCTGGAGAGGCCTTCTCCAAAAGCAGGCTTTACTACTGTGAAAACTTGAACCAAAACAAAGTTGTGTGATTCATCAGGAGGGAACGTTGTAACAAATAAAGCCAACTTTCTTTCCTCCAACACTGCTTAACAGTTAGTCACAAACAAGGGCTGCCTTGGGCAGGCTGACTAAATCAACAGATTCCCTTCCCTAACCTGTCTAGACAGTTGTTAATACGCAACTAATTCGACACCAGTGGGCTGACAGTGTGAAGAGAACGCTATTTCTGAAAATGAAATTCTGGCAACATTTTGGCTTAATTAGCATGCGAAAATAAGAGAAGAAATGATCTAGTGAGACCCTCATGAGACATTTCTGTTAGGCATGGGGGAAAGGGTGCCCTGAAGAAGTGCCTTATACTAAAAACATACGAACTGCGTGTGCATTTAGACAAAGTCAAGCATATCTGCCAGCTTCCTTGGGCAGGAGTGCATGCATGGACACAAGGACAGCAGAGGCGGATACTTGGAGGAAAAGTCGCAGCCTCTAATCAGGAGAGAAGAGCAACTATTAACAACAATGGCACAGGAGATGGGCTTTGCCACTGGGCTCTTTATACCAAAAGCCAAACCTCCACTGTCTAAAGCAGCAACTGTTACATCCCAGCTTCAAGCTGGCAAATTCTGTTTTGGATCCTGGCAGAGGAAATTCAGCCCTTCATTAGCCTTAACAAGCTGCTGTCACAGTGCGGAGAAGTTACATGGGCAGCCACACACCAAGCCTCTGGAAGCCCTCCCCAAGGGCAAGTGGATTTCTCTAAGAGGGCTGTGTAAGTTCACACTTCTGAAGTGCAAATCCCCACTGTCATCTTGGACTTTCCATGGTGCATACTGTAGAATTTTTAAAGAATACCCATGCTCTCTCACCACCCACCCACCATCTTTCCTGCAGAATGCCCCTCAGCAACTCCCAATCCTTGCTAAGGAAGGGGAAAAAAAAAAAAAAAAAACCCAAAAAACACCCAAATGCAGTTTCCACAGCAGATCCAGCACTTTCCACTGACCAGCACTTTCTTTATTCCACTTCACAAAGCCTGTGAACTTGTCACCAGCCTCACTTCGCCCTCACTGGGACGCTTAGCCAACTTGGCATCAGCGCCTTTCAGCATCCTAGCAGTTTCTTAACTAGTCCTCTAAGACAAAATCAGAGGCATGGAAGCACACGCCAGGCTTTGTCACGCTTTGTCAGAGGTTGTGCAGTCTAACTGGAGAGAGACCTCAAACAAAAAAAAAAAAAAGAGAGAGAAACAAGGGCACTGGTAGAGGGTGTTTTCTTTCTGGAGACACTGCCCTGGGGAAACCTACAATGCAGGATCAGCGATAGAGTTACATGGATACAGAGTGCCCCTGGGGTCCTCTCCCTTCTACCCACCTTCTAATCTCAAAATCAAGTTCCTATTCTTTATTGACACTCGCTAATTACTAGGAAAACACTCTGCTTTGCTCTTGCTCCCCCCACCCCACCACCACCAACCACCATCTGAGGTCGTCAGCACCAGTTGAAAGAGATGAACCTGATTTAAGGTACCAAGTAAGTGGAGCTCGCGCATGGAGGGACGCGGTCCTCTTGTCAGCAATAGCTCGAAAAGCCCCCACACTACCTTCCCACCCGGCTCCTCCGAACCCCAGAAGTTGGACAGGTCTCTGCTGGGGCACAGGGAGCCCCGGACAACGTGTGCACCAGGATGTGTGTTGGTGACTGAATTGCAGGCAGCTCGGACCGGGGCTGCTCAGCTCAGCACACTACGGGGCCAGGGGTGGGTGGGTGGAGAAGAGGTAAGCGCAGATGACTGTTTCCGAAAAACATTTTAAATAACACACAAAGAAGGGAGGAGGAAAAAAATAAAATCCCCCCCCAAAAATTCAACCCCAAGCCCACACCAACGCAGCCCCTGCGTCTCGGCCGCCACCACACGATTTACACAAGTAATTTAAATCATTCACCTGCTGCCAGGTCTCCTCCAGGGATGGCAAAGCTGAGAAGTAGCCGGTGTCGTGGACAAGTTGTAGCTCCTGGAATATACTATAACTAGCCAACACGTCCATGCTGCTGCTGCCGGGCAAAGCGGGAGGAGAAACCCTCCCCCGAGCACAGTTGGGTCTGTTTGTTTGTCAGTCTGTCTGGCTCACCCCCCAGGAAGGCAGACATCCAGTGGCCCTTTTGTTTTGTTTTGTTTCAGTCAACTAAAAAGGAAAAAAAAAATCAATGCGGGAGCGAGGGCGAGAGGAGGTGAGGAGCGAGGAGCGGGTGCGTGGGGTGGATGGAGAGAGGCATCCGGCGTGGACAGTGCAGGCGGCTGCCAGGAGAGGGGACTTCTCCGCGGGAGCAACAATTCCCTTCCAGGGCTCTGATTACTCCAGCTCGTGCATCGGGAAAGGGGACGCAAACTCACTGACACGAAGCTGCCATCTATTTCTGCAGCGCTGTTCTCTCCTAATGCAATCTTTGCTCTTTATTTTGGGAGGTTGCATTTTTTTTTTTTCTCGCGATCGCTTCTCTCTCCCCCCCCCCCCACCCCTTCCCTTCCCTCCCCACCCCCCACCCCATCCTTGCTAGTTTGTAGCTCTCCCCCGCCCCCCTCCCTGCTCCCTTTCCCCTCCTCCTGCTCTTCCTCCTCCCCCAACGCCCTCCCCCCGCCCGGCCCTCCGCGCAGCCGTGGGACCTCGGAGGAGGGCGTCCATCAGGCCGCGTGTGACCATGTAAGGTAAACAGGGGGCTCATGAAGTCACTGAGGGCCAATGGAGAGCGCGGAGCGGGGCCTGGGCGGGGCTTGGCCCCGGCGGCCAGCGCGGATTGGCGCGCGGCGGATCTCCCTGCTGCCTTACAAGGCGGCGCGAGGCGAGCTATTTTTAGAGGGCTATATAAGGGGGCTGAGGCGGCCGCGCGGCGGCCGGGGAGCGCGAGAGCGCCAGGGACGGGGAGGGCCTCGCGGCGGCTCCCCGGACGCCGGAGCGGCCGGGCTGAGGCCGAACCCCGGCCTCCGACCCGCGCTTGGGTGCCGAGGGGAGCCCGGAGCCCCTGCGCCTCTGGGAGGGGAGGGAGTCGCGCGGCGCCGCTCCGGTGTGGACGCGGCCGGCCGGCGGGAGGGGAAAGTCCGGCGCGCGCGCCGAGGACGCCGCCTGGAGGAGGGACGGGCGGGGAGCCGCGGGGGGCGCCGCGGGGGGAGGGACGGCGCTGCCCACTCCGCCCCCCCCCGGCGCGGGAGCGGGGGCCCGCAGGGGGGACCCCACTACTGAAAAATTAACCGGAAAAAGAGTAAAAGGCCCCGAAAGCCCCGTCCCGAGCCCCCCAGGCTGCTGGGTGCCGGAGGAAGCGCCCGAGGAGGAAGTGCCACACAATGGAACTCGACAAAGCGCGGGGGGCCCTGCCCCAGGGTCCCCGCCCCCGCCCCGCAAGCGCCCCCAGGGCGCGCCCCGGCCACGCACACCCCTTTCCCTCTGACCCCAAGTTGGGGACGGGGCAGGAAGTCTGACTCCCAGTTAGACTTGACTGAGGGGGGACGATTCACTTGTGTGTGTTCAAGAGAATTGGGGGGTCCGGGTGGCGTAGAGCCCAAGGGGGGGCGCAGCTTGCTAGAGGGGCTTAAACGTGAGGCTCCCCTGCGGCTTCTGGAGAGGGGGGCCGCGGGGCTGCGGTGGGGACAGGAGGGACTGGGTTGTTTTCTGGAACTTCACATGGAGAGACAGAGAAAGATCCTGTTAGATGAAAACCCTGCACAACGCACCTAGTTGGGGTTGACCAGTTGTTTGCTTGGCCTTAAATGGTAGGTGTGGTTCAAGCTTCCCCAAAGTGCACTGTGGGCTGAACTTCCACTTTTGGAATGATTGCAGAATCGGTGCTTATTCAGAGATGAGGAACAATTTTACCCGTAATGGAAGAAACACATCCATCTTAATTGCCTTTCTCAGGTTTCCTTCCTTCAGACTATGTGGAACTCCATAGGACTATTTGAAAGCTTCTGCTTTTACAGAAGGAGCACAATTTGAAATGCAGTATTTGCCGGGGAAAAATAAAGAGGAATTAGTTAGATTCAGGGAAGTCTAGCTTATTTACTTTATGATGTCTAGGATTGGATAGGTCAAATCTACAGCATCCATTGCATGATTTGAATCGGTACACTCAGTATAATGTGTATGCATGGAATGTGGAAGAATTTTGGTGTGTTTGTTAAATAAACACTTTCGTGGTGCCAAATAAATGGTATTAAAAGGTTAAAACTTACACATGAATCATGATAGCACACATACGTGTTAGCGCCAGTATGGCAGCTTTGCCTCTCTTGAAAAGGTCAGATACTTTGGAGAAGTAGAAAACCACTTAGCCACCACATCCCAATTAAAGCATTAACTTGAACCTTCTGGTCATTGGTGCTGTCACTTAGTAGCTGTGTGACTTTGAGCAAATTACTAGTTCAGACCTGCCAACTCATCTCAGATATAGGGATGGTGGTATCTGTCTTGCCTGGGTGTTATGAAGAGTCAAAATATCATTTTTAACTCACCTAACATAGTGTCTAGTGCTACTAGGGGAATAGTATCAGTGATCATTATGTCCTGGCTTGAGCTAAGTAACTTGAATAAGATCTGAACTTATAGACCTACAGTGGGGACATATGGAAGTCTTGGAGAAGAGGTAGAAACTCCTTGCCCTTTTATAATAAGGTCTTCCCTGCCACCTCCTGATAGGCTATTTCTATTGCATGTGGGAATCTGGAAGGGGGCTTTGGAGAAGGACGAGGGCAAAAGACAATTTTATGAGCAATAGAGGAAGGAAAGGAACTTAAATATATGAAACTTGAGAAGGCAAGGAACTTAAATATATGAAACTGAAGCATATAATATGATGTTTCAGACTCAAATGGACTTAATTTTTGTTCTTGTGTTATTGTATTACCATTTTTGGATAAAATAGGACAGCCTGTTAATTTGTAAATTTGAAGATTTTACAAATAATGCTTTCTTTTTATTACATACTTAAAATGTACTGGGCTATATGCTCACATAAACATTTTATATGTAATATCATATTTCATCCTCATGACAGTTCCTAGGTAGGTCTTTTTTATTATCTTTAAATTTGTGGATGACCATCCCCAGGTTTAGTAATATTAAATTGGTCAAGGTCACACAACAGAAAGCACCTGAGCGGGGGTTTAAATCCAGGATGATCTGATTTCCAAGATCACTTTGCGTAGACTCTCTATACCATGAAAAACTAGGTTTTCTTGGTTTTAAGTCAAGTCATGTTTATAAAAATTGATTGGGTATGGAGAAGGGAACCTTCCATTGAGATTTACCCCATGTAAATATCAGCCTTCCAACTTACAGGAGAACTCAACCAAAATTTCAGTGTTAAACCTCATTATGACTTTTTCATAGCATTATAGAATATATTAGAATTTGTTCTAAGAGATTTATGCAACAATGCACTCCTAAAGGCACATTTTCAATATTAGTCGTACCTGGCTACATTTTATAGCCTAGAGACCCTAGTTTCACATTGTAAAACACTTGCAAAGAATCCAAATGTGCAAAATAATCAACAAATTAAGGTCACAAGAGAACTTTGGCCATCAAACAAACCAAAAATAAACAGCACTGCCATAACTACTGCATACTGAATACCTTTTTGTACCCAGTATTTTACATCCTCACCCCAGTCTTGTGAGGCAGCTATTATTGCTCCATTTTCACAGGTGAAGAGACTAAGGTTCAGAGAGGACACATAATTTGCCTAATACCATACCTCTTAAGTGGCAGAAGCAGATTCAAATATACATCTGACTCCACCTTAACTCTAAAGTCTGTCTCTCCTACATGCATTGCTGTTGGAGATGTTACTTTTAATAATATCACCCTTTGGGTCAGGGAGAAGATAAAACTTGCAAGCTGACCATAGATTTGAGGCAAACAGCAAGGGAGGGGAAGGCAGAGCACAAGGGATGATGGTGATGCGTCATGGGTGGTGGTGAGAGAACTATGGGGCTACACCTGAAGGGAGAACAATGATGTAAGAAAATATAAATAAAAAATAATAATCTCACCCTTTGGAAGTGATCTTGTAGGAAATGGTTAAGAGTAAATACCCTCGGGCCTCCCTGGTGGCGCAGGGGTTGAGCGCACACTGTGAAGCTGTCCACAGCCTCTGCAGTGCCAGTTCGATCCCCGCCGGCCTCAGCAACCCACATGGTGAGCAGACCTCTCCTGTCTCGCCTGCTGCTCCCCTCAGCAGTGTATTTCATCAGTCTGCCTGTTCTGTTCCCCGCTCTGTCTCTGGTGAATCCTCTCACCCTCCCGCGCATCTGGCCTACCCCAGCTCTTGTATAAATAAAATAAAATCTTTAAAAAAAAAAAGAGTAAATACCCTCTGCTGAGAACTGCTAAAGGAGAATATTTTATAAACAAATAGTAAAAAATTAGTAAGTAAATAGATAGAATGAAAAACCAGACTGTTAACCATTAGAAATTTTCTATTTCATTGGTACAGAAAGTCCTTGTTATCCCAATGTGGTTAACACTGGTAAAGCCTCAATGTAAATCTACTTAAAACATTATTGGAAAAAAGTTGGTGGGGGTTTGAAAAGATTTGAAAATTAAATACTACTGAAATACATTTATTCAATCCTTTAGTAAATACAATGTATGTTCTAAGTATATCTATGTGCTAATTATAGAATAAGTAAAAAACAAATCAAGATGGTTATTGGCTTATTCTTTTTTGCAAAATGTGAAACACCTTACAACATACTTTATTGCATATTTTAGTTATATACATAATCAAAAAGAGGGTCATTTCTGTAAAAATGTTTGAGGGCTTCTGCAACTTCCACAAGGAATATCAATGCTCTTTAATATTGAAAGTATTCTCTTCTAAAGTATCAATATAAGTATCATTATTTCATTTTACCTTCACTTGTTAGTTTGCCTCTACAGATCCTCATTTGCCAGTTGCTTTACCTACCTCACTTTTATTGACATCAGGAAACCTTAAATCTTTTGCAAGATTTGCAATTTCACTTTGCAGTAGAATTTAATGTATTTGCATTGTGTAGAAAATGTTTACCAACTTGGGGGAGAGGGTGGAGCCTGGTGTTTAGAAGAGATGTTTCAATGGTAGACTAATTTGTAAACAGCCATGTCACTAATACAAATGACTTTTGCTTCCCTGGCAAACTTAATGATGGTGGATGAATGTCAGGAGCATGTTTTGGTTGTATCAAAGACAATGTTAGAGAGGTGGAGACTGGTATGTAAGACTGCCTGAGAGACATAGCTTGAACGTGGAAGAACATGTTTGTGGTCCTATGTACAGAGACATACATGTATACATACACACAGTAAGAGCATTGTTTCATGACTGAAGAAAAAAATCCAGCTTCATCAGGCTCTGGTGTTCAAAATAAAATATTCTTCAAAAATACAATTCTCTTTTCATTCACTGCTCACTTATAATCTGACTTCCTGCTTATCCTTCCTGCAGAGAAAG